TGCGTCTTGAGCCACACGCGAAGTGTGGAAGTGCAGGTCACAGCTGCAAGACTGTACCAGGGAAGTGTGCCAGAAGTGTTATATCTTGACAGTTCTTGTTCTTGTTCTTGTTCTTGTTATTGTGCTTGTTCTTGTTCTTCTTCTTCTTGTTGTTGTTGTTGGTGTTGTTGTTGTTGTGGTTGTTGTGGTTGTTGTGGTTGCTGTGGTTGTTGTGGTTGTTGTGGTTGTTGCGGTTGTTGTGGTTGTTGTGGTTGTTGTGATTGTTGTGGTTGTTTTGGTTGTTGTTGTTGTTGTTGGTGGTGGTGTTGCTGTTGCTGGTGCTGGTGCTGGTTGCTGTTGCTGTTGTTGCTGTTGCTGTTGTTGTTGTTGTTGTTTCTGTTGTTTTTGTTGTTTTTGTTGTTGTTGGTGGTGGTGGCTGTTGTTCTTGCTGTGTATGCATTATTGTTGTTTGCTCGGTTCCTTTTAAAGCTGGCTGGTTGTGTTGTGCTGCTGCTGTTGCTGTTGCTGTTGTTGCAGTTGCTGTTGCAGTGGTGTAACTGTAGCAATAGTTGCGGCAGTAGTAGTAATACTAGTAGTCGCAGTGGTAGTGGGTTTTGTTGTTGTTGTGGCTGTGGTTGCGGTTTTGGTTGTTGTTGTCGTCGTTGTTTTGGGTGTTGCCTGTGTTGCCGTTGCTAGAGCTGTCGCTGCTGCTGTTTCTGTTGCTGTTGCTGCGGTTATTGTGATTGTTGTTGTTGTTGGTGGTGGTGGTGGTGGTGGCGGCGGCGGAGGCGGCGGTGGCGGCGGTGGCGGCGGTTGCGGCGGTGGTGGTGGTGGTGCTGGTGCTGGTGCTGGTGCTGGTGCTGGTGCTGGTGCTGGTGCTGGTGCTGGTGCGGGTGTTTGGTGTTTGGTGCTGGTGTCGGTGTCGGTGTGGTCGTCGTCGGCGGTCGTTGTTGTTGCTGTTGTTGTTGCTGCTGCTTATGCTTTGGCAGTTGCTGCTGGGCATGTGCTCTCGAAATATTAGAGATTCGAATATTTGATGCTTCAAACCATTTCGTGCTAAAGCGGCTCTCATAACTCCGATACATGCTGAGCTGCCGGGACCTTATCGATAAGGAGTCTAAGGAGTCTGAAGCCAATTTTCCGCCCAACCCTGCTGTCAGGTTATGATGACTATCCCTTTGCACAAGTGACGATCACTGCAGAGTATGAGTGCTTCGACGACCCAACAGCTACCAAAGCATCCATGGAGAAGCAGGCTGTTATGGCGGAGTGTGTACGAAAATCTCCAAGTGGAACTCAAGAGTTCTATGACTTCAGCAAGGTGCCTGAAGGACCAATGGCACCGTTTAGGGTTTAGTGTTCCTTGACAGTAACCCCCCCCCGCCCCAAGTAGGTAAACAAGTGGCCCAACGCCTATGAACGGCCATTATTCTACATACTTGTGGTGCGTAGGTACCCAGAGACTCCCACATCCCTCAATTAAGGAAAAGCCCTAAGTGAGAGTAGGATCCCTAATATGATTTAAGGCATAATTCCTTACTTAACGGATATTGGAGTCCCTGGGTATAAGGAGTCTCAAGTCTCTTTTGGTTTTTAAGGTGACGTTGACTCCGAGCATGGGTGTGAAGCCGGTCGAAGGTAGCCAGGATTACGCCGTAACCCGCTCGGGCGACAGCATCCCATGTTGGCTGTCCCTCAAGGTGGGGGGTGGGTTAAACTGGGCTTAGGGTTTAGGGGTGTAGGGTTTCCGGGTGCCATGGGAATTGGATGCCTTCCGTAAGGAGGATCCCACTAAGCCCGAAACCCCCACTGCTTAGGGTCCATCTTGGGAGTTTGCTGGAATCTCCCAGGTCTACAAGACTGGGTCGTATCTCCTCCCCTTGTTTGGGACGTGTTATCGGCTCCTCTTTGTGCGCACTGTCCCACTCATCCGCTACAAAATCGTCAAGCAGGTGTCCGTGTTGCGGCAGGGCGGTGCGGACTGGCGAGCTCGCTAGGAAAACTCCTAGCCGCCAAGCTACAGCCGTGCTATACCGGCATTGTGCCAACCTGTGCTTAGGATTTAGGGTTTAAGGTTGAGGGTTTAGGGTATGTAATTTAAGGGTTCTTGAAAGTTTTCTATAGCGGTTTCGCATAGGGGTTCTATGATATGATAGCATGTTCTGTAGAGAGTGAAAGCATTTTTCTGTTCGCTTTGCTCAGAGAGGTCGTATTGAGGTTTCGTCCTCATCGTCATACTTATCAACGTAGATGCCCATATCCAGTCCCTTCACTGAATCCGGAAACCTCGCTTCTTTGTACTTTGTACAACCCGACTTTCGTTCTGCTGTCACAGGAAAGCGAGTGGGTCTACAAATTAAATGAGTGGGCAACGGAGGCGACCGTTGCTGTACCATACGAGCTGTAATTCACTCACTGTACTTAACCTTCTGTGCAGAAACGATACTGAAGATCGCGGTAGTCCCCTTCAGCGGCAGAGCCATTTCACCGTATCTGCCGAGTGAAGCACTTGCTCATGGAAGGGTGTGACAGGAACATCTTGTGTGCTGTCGCTTGAGGCTACTCGCGGGGCAAAACACCTCGACTGCTCATAACAAACACCCCAAACTTCTGTCAAGTCCCAAAACAGTTCTTAGTCTATGCTCACGAACCTAAACCGCAAAGCTGCAAAACTTCCCAAGGGACTTGGCGTGTCTGGCTCAGGGTAGAATGTTATTCCCACCTAGACCCCATAATGCACAAAAGCCTTAAACCCTAAAGCTTAGTTCCTTCACTACGGGCCCCCCCAAAGGCAGCCAGGCTACCCCCCTTGAGGTTTGTGGTGCCAGGCAGTCCGATCCCGGCTGATGTAGCCTTACCGCTAAGATGTATATGGACCTCTTAATAAAGAAAGCAGTGGTCTCCAGCGTAGATGTTTTGTTAACCATTGTAGTTTGATGGAGATGGACAACTTAGGGACTTTGGCTGTCGAGTCTGAAGACAACAGGAGAAGATTGAACCCGTTGCTTTTCTTGGCATGGCCCCCCTTGACAAGCTTACAAGCATGCCGGAGGCAGTTTTTACCTCAGGCCTTAAATACCTTGATCCTCGACGGGTTGCTTCCGCACATCTCAAAAAGATCAATAATGGCAGTCATGATCATAATGGTTAACAATCGTCATAACGATAATAATCACAATAATCGGCACAATAATAATAGTAATAGTAATTAAACAATATAAATGATAGCTATATTGTCCCTTATAGTGACCGTTTACTTGTAATACACAACCTCTCAAAACCCTACATCCTATCTCGAGGACCTCGAGACGCCCAAGGACGCTCCCGAAGAGGCTGACGCCTTCTGAACGGGTTTCAGGGCCTTTGGTTTCGGTGGAAGCTGCTGGATTAGTGTTTCGGGTTTCTGTAGCCTGGCGAGCTCCGATCAAGGCTGTGTAAAAAAGGGTTGCGGTGGAAGCTGATGGATTAAGGTTTAGGGTTTGGATGTCCTGCTGATCCAGCATGCAATAAAGATGTTGGTGTTGATGGTGATCCAACTGGAGTACTGTAGTGCCGTGGAACCTCTAGGACTGGTGTTGTAGTGGTGTAGGATTGTAGGTCTGCAGAGAGTAGTTCTGCCAGTGCAAACCCCCAAACAGTGACAGGGCACCGCGACGACCGTGACGACCGACGCGACCACAACCATCATTGCCACCAGGACCACCATGACGACCACCAGGAGCCGACAGGAGACCTGAAGACACCACCAGGAGAACCACCAGGAAACCACGACGTCACGTGGCCAAAGTGTTGTTCCCCATCTATCGGCGGGGCTTTCACAGATGCCACCGCAAGCCTTCCCCCCATCTACTGGCGGTTCCGGAGCACGGCAGCGCAAAGTTTTGGGAACTAGCTTGAGACGTCTGTTGCTGTAGCGAGATCGGGAGGGGGTGTGGATTAGGGGCCGAACCCTTCTCGCAGTCTAGCATTGCCGAGTGTGAGAGTCGAAGCACCTCTAAACGCTCCGCAAAACCTGTCTTCTGGCAGGTGAAGCTATCAAGCAGCTGGAAAGTACATCCTCATTCAGAAAGGCAATACCTAAACCCTAATCAGGCCCTAATCCCTAAAGTCCGAAACTAACCCTGCAAATACACTCTGGACCCTAAGACCTTAAAGCCTTAACTATCCCTGGCCTCGACCCCAAACCCTATACTAGCTCCAGCCTAGAATCCTGAATCCTAAACCCTTATTCCTAAGCCCTATAAAACCTACAAACACAAGATCCTACACTTTCAATCCTACGCCAATAGCCTCAAAGAGCAGGTAGAGCTTGAGGCTTTGCACGCCTGCGCGAGGAGATTCTCCTTGGGGCGTCATGAGGGTTTAGGACTTATGTTTGAGGCTTTATTATTTAGGTTTCAGGGAGGGCTTACAAAGGAGGTCTTGTGGTGTGTACAATGGCTGGCAATAGTTTATGATTTATGATTTAAAACAAATCAGAGTGTATGCTCTGCAACACCCTATTTTAGCTGTTAGCGCCTGAGAGTTTGGGCTGGAGCACTTTCGGATTTTCGGGTTTAGAGCTGCGTACTTCAGGATGTGAAATTTGGGTCAAAGCCATTGTGTCTTGGAGCTTAGAGCAGGCTTTAGGATTTGGGGACTTGGTTTGAGCAAGTGACTCGAATAGTAGTGAAGTGGGCAAGGCCTTTGGCTTGAGACGTTGGACCGTTAATTTTGTGTATTTGGCCTCTGACGCTTTGCCCCAATCCTCAGGCCAATCGTTTGAAACCCTAAACCCTGAGGCATGAGACTATAGCCTCAAGGTCCGACGCTTGAACGCCACAATCCATCTGCAGGTGGCTGCTGACGTGTCGAACCCGTTTGACGTACCAGTAACGCCAGGAGTTTCAACAAGTGATGGCGCAGCTTCGCCTGGATCATAAATGCTGCACACATACGTACATACATACATGCATGCATACCTAGCTAACTACCTCCACCTACCCACCTACCTACCCACCTACCTACTTACCTTACCTTCCTTCCCACCTACCTGCCTACCTACCTGCCT